CAAAGCCCCTGTAGCTGCTGCCTGACTTAGGCCTAAACCTAATGTATTGAGATTATATCCATAGCTGGCTAACGTATTAAGTGCAGAGGTGATGGCCACCAGGTCATTGCCTGTAAAGCCAGATAAAACTGCTGGAAAGGCTGCCACTCCAGCAAGGTTAGCATGTCCTAATAGCCCTGCAGCAGCTGCAGCAGTTGGTAACACTTCAGCAGTGTTTGCATAAGGAGATCCGGTTGGATTGGAATTGGCCACTGGACCTGTGACATTGGCATAACTGATATTGAGACAGCTGCCACTCTGTGGATCCTCTTGTATCTTCTGGATGATAAGTTCAACAGCTTTTCGGTTTTGTTCAGGTTCTCCACTCACAGTGACAACCCTCTCTTGCAAGTTGATCCCATCAGGTTTCTGGGAAAGCTGCACCCAAGCCCCTGACTGCTCCATTATAGCCTTCACTGTAGCACCTCCCTTCCCTATTATCAGACCTGCTGTGCTGTTGGGAACTATAATCTTTACCTGTAATTAAAAAAAATATATATAAATAATACTTCTGTCTTGTGCATAAACACTATAATATTTTGCTACCCTATAAAAGGAAGGAAAAGAATGAAGCAAGTTAGTTACCATGTTTTTAAAAGAAAAGGTTAACAAAATATATTGAAAAGAAATACAGCTCATCACGCTTTTTAATGCTCTACATCTGTATCAAACGTACAATACAAAGAATTAAATATAAAATAACAGGAAACCATATTTATCATTCTCCCACAGGATATACTGCTTTCAGCATAGTGCATTTCAGATCAAAAGATTGAGCAAATGCAGGTACTATGCTTGCGTGGAGAGATTGTCTTAGATTGTATCAAAGTGAGTGTTTTCATCTGATTCCTCTCTTTGCAGGCTAACGTAGCAAACCAACTTCTTAGACAAAATGTGCCTGAAATTCTTTACCTTCCCTTAAAACGTCTGTAGCAACAATAATTAAAAAAAAAAACCCACTTTGCTAAAGCAAATATGGTATAACATGGACAGATAAAATAGTTGGTCTTCAATAGGACGTCATCTTGATTGTTCAACCTGTCATCCAAATCAGTACACAGAAATTCATTACGTGCTACATTGTATTATTACTCAGCCTATGGGAATGAAGTGCAGCAGGAGAGAGTATCTAAATGCTGAAGATTTTTAAAGAATAAAATATGGCATTTGTACCTCTGAAAAATGTTATCAGAATGTCTTCAAATTAAGGGTATTTGCCTATAAGTCCTACCTTTCCTCCTGTTTAAACAAGTTTTAAATTGATACCACCTCATTAGTGTCAACAAATTTATTCCTAATTGAGTTATTGCTATGAATGAAGAATGACACCCAAAACAAAATTTCAATATTTATACATATTTTTCGTAGCTTTTGTTTTCAATATACATTTTACAAAGGTGTCTCAAAGTTTTAATGTATCATCCGTTTAACGATATTAAATTAATATGATGTTTTATCTTACAAAAATACATTTTTATTAGCCTACTGATATCCATTCGTCCAGGTTTTGTGAAGCGTATATGTAAGGGTTAAAAATTTCCAGCCTTTCACAAAAATGCTATCTAAAATCTCAGCAGCAAGTCAATACAAAATACAATTAAAATTTTATTAGCAACATTCTCATTTTACTGCCTCATTATAAAGCCAAGCCAGCTACGAATAAAAAGGCATGCCCTATAAATAAGTTTTTTCTCATCTTACCCATTTTAGGTATTTCCAGTTGTTATGACACCATCAAAATCAAATCTTTGAAAATCCAGCATACTATAAAGTTGAGAAACATTTCTATTTTCCACTTATACAGTATGTACATTTAAAATCGTAACATACCATATTGTATTTTGCACTGAATTGTTTTACAGCATATAAAGAGCATTTAATTTCTTTAAAACTTCATTCACGTTCATTGATATCGAAACAAAAGATGTTCTATGGAATATATAAAAAATTACTATTACTATGACTTATTCTAAAGATAACATAGAAGTATGGTGTTGAAAAAACATTTAGCCCACCTATATACTAAATAATCCTATAAAAACACAAACATCTCAAAATGTGTATATACTTATATACATATTTGTGTATATATACACACACACACATTGAAATGTTTTTTATATATATTTACAGACACACTCGTTTTTAAGTCGGGGCACCTCATAGTCATTTTAAAATGCAGTCGAAACTATTCAGTGATTTTGAGGTTCCCTTTTTTTAGTTTTTTTATCAGAAAAAGAAGGAAACCACTCTTAGATTTGATTTGGTATTTGGGATCTAGATACAAAATGTATTAACTAACTGCTAAATATAAGGAATGTTCATATTTTTGTTAAATATAAATATCAAGGGCTTTGTTTGTTTGTTTTGGTTTGTTGGTTTTTTGTTTTGTTTTGTTTTTTAGATTAACACTGCAAAATTGTGAAGTTACATAAAAGTAGAGTCACCCAGGAAAACTCAGTAGATCTGAAAATCTTTTACTGCATGGCACAGCTTCCATGATCACAGTTTTGTACCATGTACAATAAAAATAATTTACCTGACTCCACTGATTTAAGACATACTAACAGCTTCCTTGGGAGACTGACAACTGTGATGTGCCAGATCCTCTTGGTTTCATAACCAATGTGCACAGCTCTGACCAAGATAGGCATAAGAGCTTATTTAAATTTAAAAGGAGAACCTAAGACGGTATGAAAATCACCTTACATGTGATCGCAGAATTAACTAGAATATTTCATTTTAATGCAGCATTGTAGCACATGTAATATAGCTACACATGCAACATGTGAAAACCCAGGTTACTGTAATATAGGTAGGATCACTCTAAAGGATTGGTGTAGTAAAATAAAATAATGGTTTAATTCAGTCACAAAATTAAGAAGGAAACGTTTTGTATGCAACAAGAAAGATTTTCTCAATAGGAAACTACTACTTTTCTCATTTGACATCACAAAAGTTCATTTGGTCCACCACTGAGAGCTCTAGTTGTTTGACAAAATTATCTGTCTAGTTAGAAGAAGGATAAGAAATGATCTCCTACTCCATACCCATTCACTCCCACCTTGTCCAGAAATGTTTTTGTACTTAGCCATACAAACAACATACAAATTACGATGCATTTCAGAAAATAAATCTTGCTGGACTATGTAATATGTTTGTCTGCTTCTGAGATAAATAAAAATACCCTTTTCTAAATGTTTGTTTTAAAAACATCAGATTGTGTGTTTTAACTCAGAACTCTCAATTTTTTTTTAGTATAGGAATATACTACTAATATCCTTTCAAATACAATCCCTGCCAGGGTGAATATTTCACCTATTAACATAGAGGACATCATCTAAAAATATACATGTATAAAAAATTTAGGCAATATGCACAATCTATTTTATACTAAGGTGTCACAGAACTAAAAAAAAAAAAAAAGGCATTTTGCTTAAAACATCAGTAAAATCCTGCTCTTCCTGAAATGAATGGCAACACTTGCATTATTTTGAGATATTCAATAATAACATTCCTGTATTTGTGACAACTGATTGAAAATGTTATTTAAAAATGGAGATAATTACTTTAAAAGGAAAACATATTCAGGGTGGGTTTTTTATTTAGGATATATTAATCTTGCTGCTGATTCGTAATTCTTCATCTGTTTCCTGCATTCACTTGATTTTCCCTGGTTTATATAGTGGAATATCAACTCTTTATGGCAAACTTTGGTTGTATAGTATACTAATACAGTACCTAACACATTAGGCCACAGTCCTCCAGTTGCCAGTACAAATAAAATAATGTAAATACAAAATACGTATTTTTTTTTCCTTTTGTTGAAGCCTGAAATCCATAAGGTCACTAAGTTACAAGGTATAAAACGGTACAGCAAAATTCTTGATCTCAACTGTGATTATATGAACAGAAATTGAAAAAGCAAAGATTATCTGTTTGGTTTTTGTTACCTGCACCCCCCTGATTTTCTTAAGTACTTAATTCCCTGTCTGTCAGGGAAATTGGACAGTGTTTTTACTTCCCTCTTCCCTTTTACAGATAAGAAGTTCAGAAAGTGGTTTGGATGCAGAAGTGAGAAATCTAACTAATACCCAAAATAAGTGCTTTGAGCTATCCAATAAAGGTATCTTTGACTATGCAGGAAGGTTTGGTTTCCAAGTTTGTGTGTATGCTCCTGGCTATATTGAAATTTGTGCTGCAAAAAGGAGAGTGAGTACCTAAAGCAATTATGAACATAAGCTTCAAATACATATGCAATTTAATTTTTTTCAAATGCTATGGGAAGAAAAAAAATTGAAGGAACTCAACCTTTATTTCATGCCAAATAGATTTTATAAAAAATAAGGACTGTAGTTATGACATCTGCTTACTCACAAAGCGAATTAATTACTTCCACAGGCATCACTCTCATCCTATTTGCGTTAGCACAAGCAATTTCAAAATCAGCATTAGCAAGTATAATACTTATCCCCTGAAAAGGAATCAAACTATAACAAAAATAAAAGAAACAAAGTAATTTCACTGCGTATGTTTTCACCAATACTTTATGTCTTTAAAAGCCTTGACAAAGGTGTAACAGTCCAAAAAACTGTGGTGCTTAAGAAGTGCTCAAACTGAGAGCCGTTTGTTGCCCTCAGTTCCCAACAAAGTCAGCAGAGATCTGATAAAACTCTGCACTTCAGAGTAGGACGCATGGTACTCTGGTGATCTCAGCCATTATGTCCAGAGGACATAATTCAAATTGCTTTAACTTAGCATTAGTGTCTCATTTTCACCCTTGCATGCTGCAAAATCCTAGACTTCTAAACTCTGTATCAGCTAATTCCCGAATCCTTTTCCTTTTATTGACAACATGCTTGCATAATCCCGTGCTGCACTCACCTATCACGTCAGCATCGCCTAAAAGTCCTCTGATTTACCAAACAAAGTGCTGGCTCAGTTCTGGGAGCTGAATAGTATCTACTGTGGAATGCCAGATGTTCAGTGATTACACTATGCCACTTCTCATTCCCTCCCTTATGCTGCAAGAGATAATCTGCATGGAGCAGCTATGAGTGTATATCAACACATGCAAAACATCTTCATGGGAAGCAGAACCATGATCAAACCTGCACTGCTACCCACACGAACACCTCATGTCCTATCTCTGCGATCCTCATTCCCACTCTTGTGTAAACACCTCCAACTACCTATAGCAAGGTTCCCAAACCCTACACTTTCCTATTACCTTATTTCCTTGCCCTCCTCTCTGGTGACATGTGCTCTGGTTATATTCTCACTTCTCACAACCTTTGGTGGCTGGCGGATGGCAATGACAAACTAGTGCCTTATATGTCACCCAGCTAATACAGAGTATTTAACCTGGCAAAAGTAGTGGGAGGATGAAACGCATGCTGACTGGCTAGACAGCAAGACGTGGCTGTTATGCCAATTAGAGTAACTGTACGTAAGGATACCAAAAAAACATAGCTTTA